GTTGAAATTGGGCCCGTCGGCTTCGCAGTTTGAGGTGGTTCTTCCGGTAAGTCGAAGACATCCGAAAACGTTTGGTCTGGTTGGCTAGATATGCGAAGACGCATTTGATTTGCGTGGCGTCTCTCTACTGTTCCATCCACAAGGACATCATACAGTGTGTGTCCGTGACGTAAGAGAACTTTTCCGGGTATCCATTTGCTTCTGCCTCCTTTGAAGTTCTTTATCCAAACAGTATCGTCGGGCTCAAACGATTTTGCACGGGCGCCATGGTGTCTGTTGAATTGTTTTTCCATGTTTCCTGTTTCGATCTCCATTTTTGTGTCGAGGCATTGTGAGCTGTGTGAGAGGCGTTCGGATTTGATGTCCCAGAAAATTCTCAGCCGGCGACAGTCCTTTCGGGGCGGATTCACAGGGAGTGATGCGGTAGGTCATCAAGAACTTCTGCAAAGCTTCTGCTATCCCTTCAGAGCTCTTCAGCTTCTCCAATCCACGCTTGAATGTATCAACGAATCTTTCAACTTGTCCGTTCGACTGTGGGTGGTAGGGTGGAGAGCGAATGTGGGTAATGCCATTTTTCTTGCAGAATTCTGTGAACTCCAACGAAGTGAATTGGCTTCCATTGTCTGAGACTAGGTTTCTGGAAATCCGAACTGTGCGAATAATCTGTTGAGTTGTCGTATAGTAGCTTTGCTTGTGGTTGAAGACATCTCAATGACTTCTGGCCATTTCGAGTAAGCATCCACAATAATGAGAAACATCTTTCCATTCACCGGTCCTGCAAAATCCACATGGATACGTGACCATGGTTTCTCTTCTTTCGGCCATGAGAACAGTTCTGTTTTGACAGGTGCCTTGGCAACTTCTTGACAGTTGGAGCAGTTTCGCACGAAGTTTTCGATATCCTTGGTAATGTTTGTCCAATAGACATAACAGCGAGCAAGACTCTTCATTCTTGACATACCAGGATGTCCATCGTGTAGTAGTGCTAGTACGCGATCATGGAATTTCGACGGGATTATGATTCTTGGTCCGAAGAAAAGACAGTCGTCTTGAAGCGAAAGAGACTGGCGAAGTGCAAAGTAACATTTGATCTTCGGTTGAGGCTTCTTTGGCCATTTGTCTTCTCGAACATACTGTATCACTTCCTTCAGTGTTTCATCTTTGAGAGTTTCATCTGCTATCTGCTTCATGTCAATGGGAACCTGTGCTTCTACAGCCTTACATTCGTAGTCGGCATCATTTGAAGCGTTTGCAATGACGATGTCTTCAGCTTGTTCCGTTTGGTCAGCGATTAGACGTGAAAGGGCATCGGCTTGTCCGAAGTCCGTGGTCTTCCTGTACTCAATCTTGAAGTCGTATCCGCGAAGTATCAATGACCAACGTAGGAGGCGATTTGCTGTATAAGCTGGCAGGCCTTTCTTGCTTCCAAAAATAGAGACTAGTGGCTTATGGTCTGTAAGAAGGGTAAATTTGCGTCCAAGCAAATATCGATGAAACTTGCGTACTGCGTAGACTAGTGCAAGTCCTTCTTTCTCGATTTGACCATATTTCTTCTCTGTTTCCGTGAGGCTTCGGCTGGCGTGGCTGATTGCCTTCTCTGAACCATCTGCGAAGCGGTGCATTACGGCTCCAATGCCGTAGTCGGAAGCGTCGGCTGCGACAATGAGATCCAACTTTGGGTCGTAGTGTGTGAGCAAGAGCGGAGAGGCCAGGATATCTTTGGCTTTTTCGAAAGCATTCTGACAATCTTGGGACCACTTGAACGGCACATTCTTCTTTAGTAGTGCGTCGAGCGGAGCACGAAGTTGACGCATTTCAGGGATGAAAGTTCCGTAGTAATTTAGCATTCCGAGGAAGGAACGGAGTTGTGCGACGTCGTTCGGTCGTGGCATTTTTGTGATGGCTTGAATCTTGTCGGGATCCGGGCGTCGACCATTTGCGTCGATGATGTTTCCGAGATATCGGATTTCCGGCATCATGAAGTGACATTTTTCTTCACGCACACGAAAACCATACTGCTCAATTCGGCGTAGTAGAGCTTCCAAATTATGACGATGTTCATTGTAGTTCGTCCAGTTACAATAATGTCGTCGAGGTAAGCTGCTACTCCGTCGAGTCCTGTTATCATAGCATCGATAATTTGTTGGAATATACCTGGAGCTGACTTCACTCCAAACGGCAGGCGGTTGTAGCGAAATAGTCCACGGTGCGTGTTGATAGTGAGAGCTCCTTCGAATCTTCTTCCACTTCTATTTGTAGATAGGCGTCCGCCAGGTCGATCTGTGAGAAATAGCTGGCCACCGTTGAGTTTTGTGAAGACTCTTCTGTTGTTGGGCAATGGGTGTTGATGGAGTGACAGTGCGTCATTCAGTCCAGTAGAAAAATCCGCACATAGTCGAATACTGCCATTGCTTTTCTTCACGACTACAATCGGTGCTGCCCAGTTTGAATGATCGACGGCTGTGAGGACTCCTTCTTGAAGTAGACGATCGATTTCAGCATTGACGGCTGGCTGAGAGGCGAACGGTACGGGTCGCTTCTGACGGTAAACTGGTTGGGCGTCCGGCAGTTATACTGATCTTTGAGCTGACGGTAGTCTGGCATCTGAATACACCATTCCAATCCTAGGAGATCGGTTGCTTCTGTGACGTAACAATTTCCTCGTCCGGATACAGGATGATGATGGCGATCGAAAATTGTAAAGTCGGCTTCGAAGCATCCTTGGATATTCATTGGTGAACCATCAGCGGTTTTCACTGTTGTGATGCCTGGACTCAGGGCAGGAGACCCAATTTTGTTCCATGTTTTGCGAGAGATCATTGTGATATCTGCACCAGTGTCGAGCTGTAGACGAGCCGGTTGTCCATTTATATGCACTTTCATATATGTTCGTGCATCTTGAGCAGCAACGGCGACATTCTTGCATCGAAACTTTCTCCTCGATGATGTAGCTCTTGTCTTTCTTCTTGACAAGCTTCTTCGATTCGACTTATCTCTAGTAGCTTCCTTTTCGTTAGAATTAGAGCGTCTTCTGAAACTCACATGCTTTGGATGGCGTTGCTTGTTCATTGGCTTTCGTCCAATAACCGCATTGATCTCTTTGGTTTCCATTGTTCGGTTGTCTGACCGCAGAGTGACGAACGTTTCGCATTCACTGATGAAGTCGTCGAGGACGGGTAGGGGGTCGGACTCTTTGAGCCGATTCATCTTGTTCAAACGAAGGCGCATTTCCGAATGCGAAGAGTCTGTGAGTCCAGAAACGAAGACAAGACATTTGAGTGACTCACTGTCGACATCTTTCATGCATGCTTCTTCAAACTTCTTCTTGATTGTGCTTCCGAAGTCGCGGTAGGGTATATGGCTTCCGCATATTGGGGGACAGGATGACTGTAGGAACTCAAATCGTCGGCGGATGAGGGTTTTCTTTGGTCCGAATAACTTCGTCAGCGTTTCGATAGTTGTGGGTAGATCAACGTCTAGCGGCTTCAGTGGCAGCACGTGTTCTGAATACGTCTTATACGTACCCTTGTCCAGCTTGTCGATGATGAGGTTTCGCTTTCTGTCGTCCGAGAGTGAGCTTCCTCTATCATCTATGACCGGTCCGTAACGTTTGAACCATGAATTGAAAGTTGAATCATCATCATCATCATAACTGAAGTATGGTAGATCTCGCATAAGATCACCATATGCATCAGGCGACGGAACTTTAGTAGGTGATTGTGAAAATCCCACCCTATGTTCAACGAGAGTATACAAGAGCTCGTTTATGTGCTGGTTCTGCTGTTGCATTTGTAGCTGGAGCTGTTGGTTCTGCTGCTGGATCGCCGCTAGAAACTGCGTCATCCATTCAGGTGCGTAATTCGATGAGACTGGAACGCTGCTCGGCATGTCGTGACCCTTCAGATCGTACTGCTGCTGCTGCTGCGTACTTCTGGATCCTGATCGCCAGTGTAACAGCTCTGCACCAAGTGCTTTATTGAGCACGGACGAACAATTAGAGACACACCAACTACTGAGGCTTTTATAGGCCATAGCCGACCTATCACTCAATAACAAATCTAGTGTAAACACAATGACAGTTTATCACTGGCCAAGTCTATGGTAACTGTCCTATGAAGAATAACCGGTCATCTACAACAATGACCTGCATTTTTTTTCCTACTAGGTATGTGTAGGTGTGTGTGTGTGCGTGTGTCTAACCAAAAAAACCAAAAAAGAATTATAAAAAAGTTAGAATAAACCCGCAAAAATTGGGGTTATTCATGGTAGGGAATCATCCGGTGGTACCAGAAAAATCTTCAGTTGGCTGCTGGTTCAGGAAATGCAAAATTTTCGGGTGACCCTACAATTGTGAGACACACTGTAATCCTCTAGGGGGGTGGACAGGCAAATCAATGACTTTCTGCATAAACCGCGAGAGGGCGTTTGTTTTTTGGCCTTGTTGCCTCTTTCAGGCTGTCCGACCCGAACAAAATTGGAACTTCAGCTAGTCCGCGCAGAAAATAGTAAACCGTCTTATAAGGGTAGAGACGCAAATAATAACTGCAACGAGGCCCTCGCAATGGTTATTCAGCTTACGATCTGAAATTATCTTCTGGCCTTTCTGATGGCTACAAATGGTGTAGGGGCAGATGACACCACTTCTAGCACGCATGGTCCGATAGTCAAGACAAGAATCCAGTCTCTCTCATGCCACCCACATTGCTATCCCTCTGACTCGGTTTATTAGTGACGGACTCGCTCAATAAGGCTGATGACTTGTACATCGTTTAGCTCTTAAGTCCATTGCATGGGCATAACCGCACTCACATGCCACTACGATTTTGAAGGATTAGTGATTGCATGGAGATTTCGAGGAAGATTGCAAATGCTTCATCCTCTCTATTCCTTCAAAAATAAACAGATGAGTTCATATAGACAAACCCCTCTGGCATGTAGGATTACTGTTCACAAAATTAGCAGATTCCCTCTTTTCTTGGCTCTAATATGCGCAGCAAGGGTTCCGAAGCCTTGTAAAGACCCCTTCAACCGCTCCAAGTTGCGCTCCGCAGCGTGCTATTGTCTAGCTCCGTCATCCGTGGTGCTCAGTCGCCTGTTCTCTCTCCTCCATGCCCAATCTCTCATTGCTTCATCGCAGCCAAACCCAATCTAGGACCGAGTGCAGCAAAGCTCGGCTGGGGATGATGCCCAAAACTCCGCATCTCTGGACCCATCCCCCTATTCTGGGCCATAGGAACTGCGTCAGCGAGCGCTGTAGAGACGAAGCGTTTCAGGGGTCCATCTCCAGTCAGGACCTGCTGTGCCTGGCCCCTGAATGAACTCTTAACATTGGAGTTTCGATAGATTGTTTCATTTTTTCGTCTGCAGTATCGCCCCACTTCGCGCCGGTGCTTCCATTTTCGTTTACATCAATTTGGTCCTGTGGCGTGCCTTTGAAGGAATCCTTGGCGGAGAATTGTTGCATCCTACTATATATAAGCGGCTAGCGTGTGTCTGTTGGTGTGTGTGTGTGTGTTTGACCGGAAATTCATAGCTCGAGTCACAGTAACGATAGCGCAGTGGTTCTTACATATGTTATAGGGGGTGGGATGGGGACACAAGTGGTACGTGATAGGAACTGATAACGACTGATAATAGCTGATAAGAGGGGCTAGAAAGCGAGCATCGCCAATTTCGTTTTGTCGTTCATATTGGTAAAGAGCGTCTATACTTACAAGTGTTATGTGGGGCGGTCCCGGGACATTGGTGGTACATGATTGGAAGCGATAGCAACTGATAAGGCTGATAAGATGCGCCAGAACGCAAAAGTCGTCGATTCCGTTGCCTGGCTCGCGTTGACACCAGAGCAACCATACTTACAAGTGTTATGTGGGGTGGGACGGGGACATTGTTGGTGGGTGCCAGAAACTGATAACGATAAGGGCCGATAAGGCGCGCAGAACGCTGAAGTCGTCGATTCCGTTGCCTGGCTCGCCTTGACACCAGAGCAAGTGTTATGTGGGGTGGGACGGGGACATTGTTGGTGGGTGCCAGAAACTGATAACGATTGATAAGGGCCGATAAGGCGCGCCAGAACGCTGAAGTCGTCGATTCCGTTGCCTGGCTCGCGTTGACACCAGAGCAACCATACTTACAAGTGTTATGTGGGGTGGGACGGGGACATTGTTGGTGGGTGCCAGAAACTGATAACGATTGATAAGGCTGATAAGGCGCGTCAGAACGCAAAAGTCGTCAGTTCCGTTACGCAGCGTTGACACTAGAGCGTTCCTACTTACAAATTGTAGTAAGTCGTAGTAGTACAAACAAAGGTACGTGCACATTATTTCGATATATATCCAGCTTACTTAATAGCAGTCGATTGCATAAATTCAAAAAACAAGTCTTCAGCAAATGATAAGTTTCATTTCTATCAAGAAAGCCCAAACTCATTAAACCGCTAATCCTTTCGTGGTTCTAAATAATGGTGAATGTAAATGAATGATAAGCATTAGCTCCTCACTTATGTAAATAGGCATATTTCGTTTTGATTTTGAGACTGACAGCAATCCTATTCACCGCTAAATTATCTTAATTCAAGAAAAATGCTGGATGTTTACAGTTGTGATCAATATACCAGTTCAGCTCAGACGTTATCACGCGTATTCTCGATGAGCTTCAGTGAAACTGTGGAGGGTCTAACACATCAATAGTGAGATGGTTAATGGAGTATCTCATGCTGATATTCCATGGGTCCTCCAGTTTCGCTAAAGCCTGCCGTGTGATGCGCGCGATAGCGGGCGAAGCAAAACTGGTTCTTTTTATAAGATGTAGCAGTTGAAACCATTGGAAACCGCACACAAAGTTTCACGCACAAAGATTCAGTTTCCGAAGAGAAACAAACTTACAAAAACTACACTCTATGGACAATCGAAGGTAATGGCGCGGAGCCAAAGCGGGGCATGGAAAAGAAGTCCGCCTTGGGGCGGCTACGTATCAGGCGACGCAATGAAAGAATCGGGTTAAAGCGTGCGATTTTGGAGAGTAGAGACAAATCGATCGATAGAATAGGATGGAGTAGAAGTGTGAGATGTGAATGCAATAAGTCAAAAGGCCAGAAAGAGTTTCTAGAAGGCACTCCGAAGAACCAAGTGAAAGCATTCTCGTATCTCAAGCCAGTGATTCATTGCTGATATAGAATCCGGGTTTTTTCGTGATGGATTCCTTCAAGTCACGGCCAAGCGTCCCCGGGGGCTCGTATTTTGCCGACGAAGGAGGGGAGTCGTATTTGCAGGAGTCAACTTCGCAGTGCGTGAATGACGCAATGTGACGCAGATGAGAATAAAGCTCTAGGCTCAGGCTCACAGCATTGAACGATTAGAATGAGGACGTTTGCTGTCGCGACAGTAGGTGAGGGTATAACTTTCGAGTGCTTCTCCAACTATTAACCACAAACGAGTGCATGGCGCACCTCAGAGCAGAAGAGTCTACTGCAGTAAGTGTCCATATTGACTGCTTCACGTACACAAATATGCATCGAGGAGAACCTTTGTCTTCAAACTGACCTCATTTTGTAAAAGAGCGACCGTTCGAATATATTGACTGCTCAAAGCTTACAAGAAAAGTCTTAAGAAAAACCTTTGCTATCGCCAACTTCGTTCAGCATCTACTATGAAGAAGAAAGCTCGCGCGATGTCATGCTATCATTATTCCAGAAAAATCATATATTTATTACATGGGATAACTCATGTGGTTAAAACCTGATTGAGAAACACTGAATCAAACTTCCAGCACAACAATAAAAAACATGAAAGAAAGGAAAAAACACTTCAAAACATCGGTGAGCGAAACCAGAGAGTTGAAAAACAAAGCATGGGGAGGAGGTAAATGAGAAAAAGGAGGAATGAAAAAGACGGAACGAGGAAGTCATCATGGCTCTAGGTACTCGTTGAGGTACTTCTTGAAACTGGAAAGACTCAGAGGTATGCTTTTCTTCTTGTTCAGGGCAAAGTAGAGAGAGTGAACACAATTAACGAAGAAATGCGAAATAAAGAAAATTGAAAATTGAAATAAAGAAATTCAAAGAGAACTGTAAGTGTTTGAGTGTTGAAAACTCGTGTTTTCAGGAGAGCAGCTCCGAAAATTCATGAAAAAAAACGGTCCAACGGGACGATTTTTGAACGGGTCATTTTGGAACGAGATCAAGTATTCATTAGAAAGCTCTAACCTTCTAGTTTCTTCCAGGGGACAAGAATTGCAAAAAGTTGAATCTGAAGAAAGTTATAACAGTTCAAAGCCAAAAAACCAGCGCTCTGCGAAAAATCGGTCCGCGATTTCACAAAACGGTCCAACGGGTCTATTTCTGACTAGAGCTCAAGTATTCGTTAGAAGCTCTTATTTTCTAGTTTATCCCAGGGGGACAAGAACTGCAAAAGGTTCGTTCTGAAGAATGTTATAAGGGTTATAGGATATAGAATTATTTGAAAATTAGTAGTCCGCCTCGGTCGACCAGCGCTGGGCCGATGGGAAGATTATGCGCCCCAATGTGAAAGCAACTCTTACGCGTTCAATTCAGACGCTTTTGCGGTGGACTCTCGTGCTCTGTGATGCGCCATGGGCTCGCTTACAATCAAAATCATTATGAATATCTCCATTCTGATATGTGCTTGTGTATCAAAATGGAAATACTTTTTTGTGATTCTTGAAGCCAAGATATGTAAGCTTACTGTCTTTCAGGCATGCGCCATTCAAATTATATGGCAACCAGTTTAGCGCCGCACGCTACGGCGCGCATGAAACGGAAAGCCTAGGTGAAACAGGACAGCCGATGAAGCATAGAAATATTGAATTGCGTCGTAAAATGATAATTTCATTCTTTCATTTTTTAGCTGATAATTTCATAGGCTCCCATC